AAAAAAGCCCAAAAAGCAATGCAATAACCACCAAAAAAATAAGGAAAACCAAAAAAAAAAGAAACAGGGCAGCAAAAAGCAGTTGCTTGATGTGCAGCGCATATCCGTTTGTCTTTAGCTTCCTTTTGGTAATGACGACAGAGCCGAAAGAAGCAGCTGCCGTTCCAAAAACATGGCCAAGACAACAGCAGCGAAATGGTATGGTATGGTCCTGATCCCGAGATACTTGGATGTACATATCTGCAGTCTGTAGTCTTCAGAAGACCCAGACGAAGACGCTTCCCAGCAGAATTGAGCTTGGGCTTGTAATTTGCAATCGTTCACATGCTGTTCTTGTCCGATTTTATTTGCTTTGCTTTATTTTAGATGCTCTCTTGTGGTCATAAAGTTTATCTGCCTTCATGGACGAAACCAGAAGGAAAACGATTGCCAAAAAATATATATTGAAAATCGCCTTCTGTTCTGTTTTTTCTTTCGATTTCGGTGAGAAACAAGAAAAGGTTCACAGCCCTTTTCAGCAGTTGTAGATCAATGTCACATTTATGTTTTGATTTCAGATTTATAATTTTATTAAAAACGAACAAGAGGACCTACATTTATGTGCATGTTCCATGACACTTTGAATTACGGATTGAAGAGGATGGATAATAATTTTCCAATAAAATTGAAAATACGACTTCTTGCAATTAAATCCCAAGTCAAGTTTCCAATAAAATGTTTTATTGTCAGGGATAAATTAGATTAATCTTCTTTTCTAACTCCGTTTCTGTAATTAATATTATATTTATAATACACCCAAAAATGCCAATAAATCTCTTTAACCTAACTTTGTTATTCAAATGTATGTAAAGGATTTCTTATGAGTTGTTGAAAATATATTACAAAAAAAAGCAGGCATTCCCAAAATGGTAAGTGATAAGTTGCAACGATCGGTTTTTGTGTGTCCAATACTTAACCTTAACCCCTTGTTCCCCCTTGGGTGCTACTGCGGAGGCAGCCTGTGGAAAATAAATTGCTTAGACAACATAAACAAATTACAGCAAATTAATAAAGCTGTTCGACGGTTATTTAATGGGCTAGAGGGCAAACCGAAGAGGGGATCGTTGGGACGAGTCATATAGACATATATTCCCGGATCGGGGTGACGTGGCATCATGTAAACGATAATATAATAGGGAGGAAAATACTATAGATATATCTATCCCATACACGCCATTCGATTTTCCCTTTTGGCAGGCACTCGTCAAAATGGGTGTGAAGACGCTCGGCGAGATTAGACAATTTGGTTTGGTTCGTTAGGAGGTTTGTGATCGCTTGGCCAAAACGGAAGAAAAAAAATCAAAACATAATTTTCAACGCTTCGAAAAGGGGCGAAATGCAGGGGGGAGGGGCAGGGGCAGCACCTTTGTACCGTTACCGGTTCCATCTCAAAGACGCAAATGGTGGTAAACTAGTTTCGCCGCTGGATAGTTGGCCTTCGCAGCTATACTTCTACGATACCTTCGCCCTGACAATAGAAATTAGAAATACAGGCAAACAGGAGCAGGAGTAGAAAGGGAGGAAGAAGAAGAAGCAGAGGAGTGCGTAAGCCGCAAGGATCAGAAGGATCTGGAACCGAAGGTACAGCTGCCCCGGGAATGTCCTAAGCTTAACCCACCAAGATATTGTGGAAGTCCATTAAAAGAAAACATTAAAAATCATTTATTGTACTTCAAAAAATATTATTTGTATAATTACAAAAATTGATAATCTATGACAAGATATAAATACATCGAACTTGATCATTTTGGAATAGTTTTGAAGATATTATTTCAACTTTTTTATTTTATTAGTTGTACCAACTAAGAAATTGAGTCTATAACCATAATCAAAATAAAAATTTAATGTACTTTTTTACCACTGTCTTTTCTAAATGGAAAATTGTTAAGATATTTGGTGAGATACTATAAGAAATAAATTTGTTATAATCTGACGCATACTTCACACAAAGGGTTAAGAAGCTTGGGGGTGGGGGAATCAATTGGCATTCGGCAGATGTTGTCCTGTGGCGCATCCTTTGTAATTAACAAAGGAGTGCGATGGAGACGGCGGAGGAGAAACCCCGAGGCACGGGTTAAGCCCATTAAAAGTCCCCAACAACAACAACATCAACGACCCCAGCCTGTTTGTACAGTTGCCATTGGGATCGCTCAGTTCAGTCAGTCCTTCAGTTAGTCAGTCATTCAGTCTCTGTTTGGCATCACCTGCCATCGCCATCGTCCGCTGTCTGTTAATGTGTTTAATGATGCCCTGGCCATCGGCGATCTCAGTTCAGTTTTCATTTATGCTAAATTGCGGCTCGGACTCTTATGTAGTGCTGCCAAAAAGCTGAAAAATTAGCCACATTGATTATATAACATTGGAAAGTTTCATTAAACTTTAACATAATATTTTAATGTGATCAGGACAATCATAAGAGGATCCAAAAAATTGATTTTTGATTGGAAATCTTCTTGTATCGACAACATAATAAATATGGAACATTTTTTCAATGCTCTTTCCAAATTAGTAAATGATAATATTCATAATATGTAATCTATACAACCCATATTTTGGTTTGGGTGTTTGGAAGATCGTTACCCAGCGGTACATCCGGAATTAATAGATTCCGTTGCTTAGATCTGAAGATTTGGAAACATTAAACTAATTCGTAATAAATAAGGTCTGATAAAAGGGCCTTCTTAGGTAGTTTATGTAGCCAGATCACACCTGGCAATAGCCAAACGATCAGCGCTGCTCAAGGTGTGACTATGAGACTCTGTGCCATTCCAGATGTGTCCGTACATGCCTCGTGCCTCACCGATTGTCCTGATGCGATATGCGGGCAGCGCGGGTCTTCTGGTTTCTTCATCGATCTCTAGCCACGCGCCGCAACTTTCCTCGCGACTCTCGATCGAGGGCTTGCTGCCGATGCACCTGCTCTTCTACCAAAACTAAAACCAACTGGCCACCGAATGTGGGCCGCCCTAATGGAGTTGTCCCCGGGCCCAAGGTTCGCAACTTTTACCAGCCTGCTCTGGGCGATCATTAGCTGACAGAGGCCTCACTCGCCAGACTACATTTTCGGGCCTTATGTTTTATTTTAATTTTTCATTTTTTGGATATTCAGTGGGTCTTCTAGTCATTTGGAAAGGATACAAAAGCTTACGACTTAGGGTTTTAAAGTTGAGTTATCTTCAGAAGATGTTAAGGGGAACTTCTTTCGGAATTATAGTACTATAGCTTCTCCGACCTTAAGTTAAATTATTTCATAAGTAAACTAAAATTTTTAAAAACTGAAAAATTTTTTTTTTAGCCCCACAAACAGGATAATAATGCAAGACTAAAATTTTTATAAGTTGCCATTTCTTTAACCTTAAGCTTACTTTCAATTAATTTAATAACTAAGTATGTGTGTTTCTGAAAAACGATTTAATATTTAAAATAATAACGAGAACTATAAGAAAAATTATACAAAAATTAAGTGAGGCCCTTGAAATCCCTTGAAATAAATCGGTAACATTATTTAGACAGCTCCTTTTGTATGACATAACATCCCTTATTCTACGACATTCCAGAACCCTTGTTCGGGAAACCTTTGGTCCTGTCCTGTGAGAGTATCAAGCGATTCGGCGCGGAGAGAGAACAAAGATCGAGCTGCTCTTTGTAGCTTGTCGCTGTCGCCTTGTAGCTGCTGTCGCCTTGCTTTACCCCTTACTTTTCAAGTATTAGGTATATTGTTTTAACAGAAATATGAAAGAGTTTCCATTTCATAAATATTTGTGAACAAGCATGTTGATAAATATATATTTAAGACGATATGGACAATAACCCATTCGTCATTCTGAAAAATGTAAGCCCAAAGGACTACTACAATAGAAATATATCTTAAGTATAACATAACTAAAAATTTTAAGTATATTGTGCACTTTAAATTGGAAGTACAAACTAAGAGGCTTTAATTATATTTTATGATCAAACATCATTAATATAGTTCATTTCCAAAAATATTAAAAAATCAAACACAGTTAATGAACAATAATCCTGGGTATCTGATAGTTGCGACACTCGAGAGTTCCGTTCCTTTTCGCAGTCGCTGCTTCAGCCCGCGCTGGCAGAGAAATTCAGGAGTGAGAGCGGAGAGCCGAGTCTGAGTTCTGAAGTTGGATTCGGATTCGTTGAGGCATCGAGCTGAGTCGCCGCTGTGAAGGAAATTCAATTGCGCGCAATCCATCGCGGCGAAAGGTTGTGTGCTCAAAAACCCTCCTAACTGCTAACTCCTGACCAACAGAAAAAGTACAAATAAGTAAATAGTGACCAAGTTATTCTGCGGATCGAGGAAGTTAATGCCTTGGGCCCCCGCCCGAACGACGATGGTGTGTTAAACATTTCTGTGTGCTCGTGTTTCTCTGTCGGTGAGTTGAGTGCGCGCGCTATTTTTATTTGTTAACTGCAGAACAGAACCGTTAGTCCCCAAGTGCCCTCCAAAAACTGCAACAACGAAAAAGAAACATCAAAAACCCACGAGAAATCCCCAAAAGAATCTGTGTACAAGTGCAAAGAGACAAGGCGGAGAATGCGCCCAAAAAAAGAATTTAAGAAAGAAAAAAACATTTTGCTGGGTGCGGTGATCTTGAACCCGGGCTCAACTCCGCGTAACGGTGCATCGGAAAGGCAAGTGCAGGAGGAAAATGGGTAAAGAGATGATGGAGAGGAAGGATGAGGATGTTGCATTTCTTTTGATTGCTTGTGTATCATCTTCGGGGATCTCTGTGCGCCCACTCTTTTTGCGGGCATTTTCCGCTCATTTTTGGCGCAGCCTCCCAAAAGGTAATCTCCCCAGTCCCAGTTCAAGTACCCAGTTTCCACAGCCTAGCGTTATAAAACTGCCGTTAGCTTTTTTATGTTTAACCGTTTTTGGGTGCAGCCAATGGCAGGCAGAGTGACTCTTCTCCGGAGATAATTACAGCAAAAGGTGCAGAATTTATGTTGACCATCAAAATAGTTGGGAATAAAACGTTCGGTTAAAAAGGCTTTTTGCGCCAAATTATTGTCTTTATAGGCGGGGAAAATGGCGATTTTCCTGTCGCCTTTTGATTTATTTACATGTGCTTTTCGTCTTTTGGCGGGTCGAGGCGAGAGCACAAAGAAATAAGAAGCCATTCTTTGTGCAGAAGTCAAACAAACATTCTGACTCATTCTCTTCGTAGCGCTTAATTTTTTTTGTTTTTTAAAGACCCATTGCGGGAGAAAGAGCGAGTGAAGCTAAAGTAACGGACAAGGAACATCAGCATCGTCATCGCCCCCAGTTCTCCACCCTTTTCTCCTGCTGTCCCCAACATCATCACGTGTCGCCAGCTCTGTTCTTCGCTTACACCGAAAACAATATAGGGTCTAATATGATCTTTAGAATCAGAATATTTAGAATCAGAATCTTCAGAAAGTTCATGACAGTTTTTAGATCATTTTGATCCAAAAATATTTCAAAATTTTGTTTAATAATATTTTAGAGATTAGAGGCTTCTATATTTCCTTCAACTTTATAACTATGTAAATCCATTTATATCATATGTGTACCCTTTTCTCTCAGTGTATACTTTTTGCCCTGGCCATCAGCCATGTCAGCGCCTTCATTATAATAATTTTTATTGCTTTTGCATAAATCAAAAATCACACAAAACGAACCAAGAACTGGCAATCGTAAAATGTGGAGAGGCTACAAAACATAAAAGGTGCGTTTTTCGGCTGTCTGCACTAATTTCGCATAATGTTGTTGTTTGTTGGACCCGCGTATTTTTAAAATTTTTTTTTATATATCCTCGCTCTGCATTTCCGTTACTGTTGCTTTTGTTTTTGTGCCAAATCATTGCGGTCCCTGCATACAAATTCATTAGTGACGGCCCCCACTCTCCGCTCATTTTGCTCCTTTGGAAGAATTCTCCTACTCCACCTTCTCCTCCCACACACACTCTCGTTTCTGGGAATCGCCGTTCTTCATGTTGTTGTCGCTGGAGCACCTTTCTTGCAGCGGATTCTGCAGGAACTCACACGGTGCCCTCTCTTCTCAGACCCTCGCTCTTCGAAACCTCCTTGTTCTTTGCTTTTCTGTAGAATTATGCTCCAAGCCTTCGGGCAGCTTTCTTTTTGTGTGTTTTTCGGTTCTCAGTTGATAGGTAGAACCAAACCTTTTAAACTTACATGAAGATAATAGAAAAGCCAAAAATTAAGATTTTAATTTTTTTTAAATATAATTAACAAATTCTAAAATTGGTTGCTTGTAACGAAGGCTTTGAATCCTAATGTTTGAGACTCCCTACCGAGTTCATTACTCAATTAAAACTATTTTTTAAGTCATGTAAGCACTTTCCGTATCCCATATCAAACTCACACAATCTGATTTATTGTCGCATTAATTTCCCATAGAGTTAACGTAACCTCAATACGCAACAGCCCCCTTCCCCCACATACATATCAAATTAAACACATCTTTTTTGTAGCACTTTCGGATTCTACGAAAACGAAGCACACATAAAATGAAGTTCACATTTTTTCCAGCTGCCTCATTTCCAATTTTTTTGATGCTGGACTGATTACTGTAACCAAAAATGTGACCCGATAGCTCTCCCCTCTTGACAATTTGGTCACTAATTTTGGGGCCCTCTACTCCGATGTCTGAACCAAATACAGTTGTCGGTAAAATTTTATTGATCTTCGTTTTTTCTGCACAAAAATATAAAATTGTTTCATGGTCGATGGTTGTTGCTTTTGTTGTGTGTGCCCGACGAAATCGAAATCTCGCCAAGAAGCAAACGGCAATCGGCAAATCGAATTCAAAACGCGTGTGTGGTGGAAGGAGGAAATCCCAGATCCCAGCAGAAGATCCCTGAAGAAGGCCCAAAGAGACGACTCCAGACTTGAGACGCGCCACGACGATAACAACAACAAAACAGCAATCAGCAAATACTTGGTTTAGGCTGACCAAATACACTGGGAATAATTTAAACTAATATTGAAGATATTAAATCGAACTGCTATATGATTTGACATTAGAATATTACATATTTTAATCCATAGTGAGGTGTATTCCAAATTTCAGAACTAGAATTCAGAAAATCATATTTCACTCTTTATATTCTTTAAGCTTTATGATTCCGTTTTGTGGATAGTTTTTAATGGACAACATTTTTCCTTTAGAAACATCTTTTTTCTTGTGTAGCCACTGTCCCATGCCAACAGCCACAAAGGGCCGCCCGAAAAATATTTTTATCTTGATATTTCTGTTTTTTTGCCGCTGTTTGTTGTTGTTGCTGTTCTAAATACGCCAAAAGTTGCTTTCGGGGCATAAATATATGTCTTTAGTGTGGCATGTCTGGTTGCGTTTTTGGAACTTGGTAAATGGGGCAAAGGCAAAGGCAAAGGCAGACCAAAGACAGACCTGACCAAAAAGCTGGACTTCGGATCCCAAAGTCCGGCAGGGGCAGAATTCATGGAATTAGTTAACGATTAATGATTGGATATTGATTTCGGTCTTGTGGCCTTTGAGCGGATCTCTTTCGCGACTTCTCTCGTCCGTTTCGCTTTTACTACTCATTAATTTCCTTTAACTATCTTCGGGGGCATTAAAAACACCGCTGAGCAAAATTAAGTTCCTGCCGCAACATCTTATTCGTTTTTGGCTTCTTTCTCCATTGAAGGCATTTTACATAGTTTATTTGCGTTGTTGCCAACTTTCTTTTTGAGAGATTCTCTTCCTTATAGCGTCGCTAACTGCTTTACGATCTGAGCAGACATAAAACTCGCTGCCAAGGAAGATAGCATTCTGCCAGTGCCAGAAGAATGGAATGGGGATTCTACGTCGCTCAGTTCAGTTCAGGTAGTATTCTTCGTTTCTGGGAAACTTAATTTGTGCTCCTGGCCGCCATATCAAATTGGCGCTATCGAATACCTAACACGGGCCATACACACATACCCGTTTGCATACATATATAGACAATGCCCCATATAACTATGAGGCACAAGCTTAAAATTTGCTTAGCTTGGTTTCTCCTCTGCGAAACTCGAGGCTTAAATTCTTCTCAAAGAGATTCCATTTGGAGCATCCCATAACCCATACCCTAAACATTTGCGTAGAAACTCCCCAAAAAAAAAGAGAACAGCAATTTTAATTTGTGTGAGAACTTTGGTCTTAGGGATTTCGTTCACTTTAAAGACGCTGGTGATCAGGGTACGACGGGGGGATTAAGATGGCGCATATTCACCGCCGATCATTAGCTATTAGACCGACTCCTCGGCAACAGGCCCGATTTCTTCAGCGCTAAGATTGTGAGCCACTAAAGCCGCGGAGTAATTGAGCTGTTGGAGCCTCTTCCAGGCCCAGTCTTCAGTCTCCACTCTTGAGTCTTCCGTCTCCAATCTGCCTGCCATTGCTAACGAGATACGCCAAACTATTTGGCAATTAGCGGATAATAACATTTGCTTACACATTTGCAAAAAATAATGGGAAACTTTGTGGGAAGATGCCGTGCCAAGATATTGCACTATACGACGTGTAAATGATCTGTATGCTTTTATGACTCGATTCTAACATTCCTCTAGAATACAAAATTTCAATATTCCTGTTAATTTCCATTTCCCCAAAGACGATTCCCCAGTGAAATGCTCCTTTTCAAGAATTAAATCTTTCTATATGAATGAACCAAAAAAAAATTTGAGATTATTTTATAATTCTTAGAACATTTTTAAAGAAGCAGCTGTGATTGTGTTTTTTATATAAACTAGATATCGCACTTAATTATTTTAAAGCTAGCTGCCGTTAAAAACGGTTAACAAATCCGCACCAGTACCAAATTGAGATAAATTTTATTTTGCAATATAAAGTAATGGAATCAAGTCGAAATTCGCTTTAAACCCAGTTGAGAGTGGTTATTTGACTTGGGACACAGCCTGCTTTTAAAGTTTGTGCCATTAAACAAAGACTTCTGCCCCAAACTGAGTTCTGCCAACACACCAAACCCGCTTGAAATGAACAATAATTTCTGATCATCCTGGTGCGTCTGGGGAGGATTTCTTTAAACCTGAGCTTCAGAGCACAGATGTGGGCAATCAATTGGAGAACTCGCAGAGCGAACCCCAATAAACGATGCGCTGATGGCCGACCATTTGGACTGATGACTGCACCACGTCCAGGGAGAGTGGCCCATATTATGCCATAACGATATCAACCAAATGAGTGTGCTTCGACTTACAAGAGAGGTTTCTTACAGGGAGGGAAAAGATACAAAGTAATCCAGGAGAAAAGTATACGTAAAAAATATGACTAAAGGTGTTTTAATATTATTTTTTTTAAATATTAAACAAATATAAAATACTTTGGTAAAGCTGTTATCTTTGTTCTTTTCACAATGTGCCAGTTCATAATTCGAATACTTCTTAGTTTGAACATCAATCTCTTCCCGATTGGAAATAGACTTTTTGCCAGTGCAGATATCGCCTTGAAAAGGGGTTGGCGGATCTCGGGAGACATGCCCACTTGTGGTGCAGTCGCTCTTTGTGCGCCAACTCATATTAAACCACCGTTATGCATATCAGCCACACAATTCTACAGAAAAGAACAGAAGAGTAGAGAAGAGAAGAAAGCCGGGGAAGAGATCGCCACATATCGAATGGAGATTGGCGTGGCCGTGGCGTAACCCTTTAATTATGCCACATACGAGTACGAGTCTACAATCCACAAAGATCGTTCTAAGCCGGGTATTTTTTTGGGATTGGAATCGGGATCTCGGGCTCACCTCTCGACGTCAACGCCTTTCGAATGGCACTCTGGGTTGGTCTTGGTCTTGGTCTGGACTCTCGGGTATAACTCCTCTGCTACTTTCTAAAAATCTGTCCGGGAATATAAATTGCAGCCACGTTCTCGCTCCTTTTGCTGAGTGCGAGTCAAAAATTCTGCAGCACTCTGTGGCCGCATCTTAATTGCATTTCGATTACGTTGCTGCAAAAACAAACCAACCGAAAAAATAGTCTTTGCAGCCCCAGTAGAAGAAGCTAGAGCAAATCAAATCTGCGAGTGTTTTCGCAAATATTGCTGGCAACATGTTGCACTTGCGAACAGGCCCGCAGCAATTGGTAGAAGCTGGCTTTGCAGCTTGAGCCTGCCAAATAGACAACAGATGAGACAGCCAGGCACGGCCCAGTCCCCATCTCTGGAACGCCTTTTATGCTGGGTCTGGATCCCGAACCCAAAACAGGTTCCGCCGACCATGGCCAAAACGATGGCCAAGTCTGGCGACCCGAGAGCCTCGGCTTTTGAGTTGAGCCTAGAAATTGTAACAGCCAAGAGCGGAGGTTCGGTTCTCAGGCGGCAGACCTTTTCTTACTTGTCCTGGGCCCATTTAATACAGTTATTTTTATTCGCGGCCCTCGCTCGTTCTACAGTGGAAATTCTATTGGAAGAATTTATCTTACATTACTTTTGCACAATATACCTCTTTAGAACTCATGCCATATTGCAAAAGTTTATCCAACGGATGTTATTATTAGTTGTTCTAAATTAATTTTTCTAAGCAAGAACTGCTACATTTATCATACCATTTCTGAAGTCATTATGATATTTGTGTAATAAAACATTTACTAGCTTTTAGAATTTAATAACTATTACCTAGTTTTCTCATTTCCGAAACTAATCTTTACAGTTTGTTAAGCTGTAGACCGTTAGCAAGATTATAATAACTAAAATGGTTGAAATTTATTTTAGAGACTCCACATATGTTATTAACTCGGTGAACATTTATAGATTAAAGACATACAGGGGTTTGATCTTAGGAAGTTCCACTGTATCTCTTTCTCTTGGAGAAGCAACAAGTACATCAACAATGGGAAATGCAAACGGTTTTTGGCTGGAAGTCATGGCCATCCATGACCATTCCCGTTCACTTATCCCTGGCTGCCATCGAAGCCGAAGCCTTCGATGCTTTCTTTGGTTTGGCACTGCAGCTCCTGCTGCCTTCGCTGCCTCTCGAGTCATTAAAAATGATTCTACTTAAACTAGAACAGACCAGCGGCCAACGAAAAAGCTGGCGATTCTTCTGCAGAGGAGGTGAAATAGCCATCATAAATGTGCAGGAGAAAGGCCAACAAACCGAACTGTGAATGCCCTTAATGAGCTCATCTTTTAAGGCTGATGAGAAAAGAGAAAACCGTAACTTACGGTCTGCAAGAAAGACAAATGTGTCTTAGAATTAAATTATAGGACAGAAAAACATTACCTAGAGCTATGAAAATAGAAGAACAAACAGTTCTAAAGTAATAAAATAAAATTATTGAAAATATTTAATTCATATCAAATCAATTGGGTTTATTACGTTTTGTCTTCAATTAAATCAATTAACATACCTTACCAGAGATCAATGCGAATTGAAAACTGGCTATTATTCATTCCTACCAACCCCCTGATACATTTCCATCGCCCAAAACCAAATATCACCTCTTTTCGAACTCGCTCGCCTTTAATTCCTGTGGGGATTTTCGATCGCGATATGGAGAAATGTGTGTTATTGCTGACTTGTCAGCTGTTGGCTTGAGCAAATATTATTACATGATATGGTGCACCACCACCACTCCACTCTATTCCGATCCCCACCGCCGATCCACTCCAGTTTTGCCCCCGTTCCCGATCCCAGCCCCATTCCCCAGCAGCTTTTTCAATGAATTATTAGTTATTTCAAATTTATGTGCCGTGCTGTTTCTTTTCTGCTCATTCTACTGCCTTGGCTCTTTTTTTATCGTGCGTCTATTTGCGTTTCCGCTTTCCGATCTCAAAGACTCGGACTTGGGGTCTCTTCTGGGCCTGGGCCTTTCCTTTCATTTGCTCAATGACGAAGGAGAAGGCCCCGAAGACAGAAGAAGAGAGTCTTCGTGCCGTTGGGGGCGTATTTGCCTAACAAAAATAAATAAATATGAATTTATTGCAGCGTTTGTTCATTGCTGGATTGCTGTATTTTCTGTGTCGCAGGGAACAACATTAAAACCTAATGCCGTCTTGGGCCACGAAAAGCCCCAGCAGCGATCAAATAAACAAATACTGAGCGCAAGCTCCGCTTCACCATTCCCCCAAACGATATTATTAGTATTATTATTTGCTGGATTTCATTTGGGGGCAGATAAGCGAAATACGCTGGGACACTGAGAGTCAGTCAAGAATCTGTGGAAAAGTCCGGAAAAAGGGGTAGCGCGGGTGGGTTTTAGTAATTCTTTTCTGCTGCCCTGGCAATTCTTCCGCTCACCAGTTTTGGTCTTTTTTTATGTTCCTCCGCCACCGAGTGGTTCTGGTTTCTACGAATTTGTCACGCTTTGGATTTCAAATTTTGTTGATGTTAGCCAACTGTTAATGGACCCCGCAGCATACTTTCATATACATACAAGCTTCCTCTTGCCAAATGATGTGAGGCGTAAGTAAAAGGTATTTAACGCTTGATTTTGCCCAGGGTTTAATTTTACCTGCTCTCGATCCGATCCGATCCGAAACTCCCACTCCTTCAGTCAGGACTATTGTTGGGCATCTTAAGCCCGCACAAAGGACACTCAAGTAGGGGCGGAAATTTAATATGAAGCGCTCCTTATTTTTTGTTCTCTGTTTTTGGAAATATGAGATTTTTAGGCTTTGATCACTGCTCCCATTGTTTGTCTACCTGCCTACCTGTTGTTGGTATTATATTTTACATTTTTATCAAGATGTTCACTGTACTTGCTGAAACTTTATATTCTCGATCTGTAATGGCGGAGGAGTTTTCTGCCAAATACGAATATGAATTTCCCGTAGGACGGGAAGGTGTCAACGTTTTGCATTTTGAATAAACATTGCACTTGTCCCGGCCTATGGGCGGTTTGTAATAAACAACGTAAATTTATTTTTAAAATGTTTAATTAGCAAAACTATGCCATGAATTTTAACTTATAAATTATTTTCTGTCATTTCAGATCTCGATTTTGCAATACTCTTAGCAAGACTGTTATTTTAATTATAAAATAATGTGTATATTCATCCAGGTGAGTTAGCTTCCTATTTGTTCAATGTACTATAACGTTTTTATGTATTCAAACACTTCTCTCACATCCGCGCACATGTTTTCACTCTCAATGCTTCATTTTCCATAAATAACATTTAAAAATTTCCCAACCGCGCGCTCTATTTGGGTACTTTTCATCCCTTTTCCGTTATGAACATTTCCGCCGCGTGGTTGCCACTTAAATTCGAACTGGCAGCGCTGCCACCTGGTGGTGCCGTCTACTAAAGATGTGCACGTGATTATTGTGTGCTATGAATATAAAGTGTTGTAACGGTGAAATAACAAGTTAATTGAATGAACTTAGAACGAATAAGGAATTTGCTTAAAAAGGAAACCCCAATGTAGCAGAAATTCGAGTGATTTATAGATATTTGATTTATTTTTAATAATCGACAATCACGCGCGGAAAAAAAACGGATCACGCTCGCATCTCTACTATAAGGGGTTCGGCGCCTGTGTGAGCGAGAGGGTGGATGCGCGCGTGTGCGAGTGTGAGTTTGTCTGTTTCTGTCTCTGTGTCTGTGGGTGTGTGTGTGTGAGTGCCGCTCTCTTGCGGCTTGCCTCGTCCGTAATTCGTAAAATATAAAAATAAAAAATTTTTTCAGTTTCAGTTTAAAAAAAATTCTCACATCGACTAGTTGTGCGTGCAGGCAAAAAAGACAGAGCATCGCGAGCAGCGAAAGAGAGCGGAGAACATCGCCTCGCCGTCGGAACTGAACTGAACTAAACTGAGCTGAAAAACTGAACTGAGCGTCGTGTGTTGCGCAGGCAATCTTAATTAATTTATTTACGTCTATATTGATTTTTTAAAGTAACAGCCACAGCTACAGTTAGCCATAATAGCCAGCTAGAAAGCAAAGGCAGGCGGATAGCGAGGCGGAGCAAAGAGCGCGCGTTTTAATAGGTATAAAATTTATAAAAATACACACTAAAATCAAACCTGAGGCGCGTCTAAATATTTCGAGGTGAGTAAATCTATAAAAATAAATTAAGATATATTTTATAATTTGTGAATGCTAATGCTATGGCTGCCAAAAATAAATAATATTTCTAGTTTACTATCTGGCCTGCTTGCTTTCTACTTTTTACTTAAGTTTTAGTTTTCCCTTTTTTTGTTTTTTGTCTTTTGCCCACCGTAAATTAATAGTAGTCTGCAATTGTTTATTTAAAGTTTATAAAGCGACTTTTTATGTTTATCTGTGTGAGCAGCGCAGCTGGCGTCGCTTAAAATTAATATCAAGCAGTTGCGAGAGCGTTTCTGTACTTTTTTTTTGTTTTAAGGTAGTTTGATATTTTTACGGTATTCGCTGGCTTTGTTTTTATTGCGCTGCTGCCGTCGACGCCGACAGTGCGCGTCGTTCGCTTAGCACCACAGAAGAGCGAAAGAGCGCGCTGAAGATGCAGTTTTGTTTTTATATACACACCTACGCACGCGTATATATACATGTAAACGGCTGCGACTGTGTAAAAAACTATGTACATGTCGTGAAAGCGGATGCAGATTAGGGATGGCAAGCATCGATTTATCGAGGTGGTTATCGTTAGTTTTAAGTACTATCATAAAGGCATTACTTTTATTATTGTAAGCATTAGCAAATGAGTAGGAGAAGTTTCAGTTAATGCGTCTTCATTGTACTTTGTTTTTTATAGTTTGCTGAAAACCGGTAACTATGTGTGTATATCCTGAAACAGGATGCAGAAGACAGATAGCAAGGCTTCCATCGATTTATCGAAGTGATACGATGGCATAAAAACCACAAAACCGTTTTACGAACCTCCAGTCACTATGGTTTCTTTTCTTATAAACTTCTTTGCTATCCAACTTTGTTTTTTAATTGTTTATGCTCCCTTATGTTGAAAAACCGGTAACTATGTATGTATATCCTCAAAATTATTCCCTCCTTTCTGTGTTCTTTTCTTTCGTTGGATCTTTTGTTTCTTTTTTTTTAAAGATATTTAAGCAACATCAATTATCTTTCGTTTTTATGTAGAGAACGGAAAAGGAAAATATATTCTAAAGGACGGGTGATATCAGAATAATTTTTAATATTACTGTAAGCAGTCCATATCAGTTCAAAAGGCATATTAATGAAATTAGCATGAATGAAAGCAAGAAAAAGATTAAATAAAATCACAAACAGAAATAAAAAAAAAATGGTTTATTAAATTAAAATTTAATAATCAGCAAGCCTGGCATTACTCGATAGTATCGCATCAACGATTTTTTATCATTAACAAAAAAGGAACTTAACAATCCATAGTTAAATTAATCAAAGAAAAATATTTTAAATGGAAAAAACAAACTTAACGTCTGCTTCTAAAAAACTCAAGGTTGGAGGTGAATCTGGAGGAGGAATGGAGCACCTGACGCACTTGTATCCCCCGCAACTGCCAAAGGGGCGTGGCCGGCCTCGGGCCACATACGCCCAGACGGGCGAATTCGATCTGGGTCTGATCCGGGAATACCGATCGCACCCAGTGCTGTACGATCGGACCAACAAGCGGTTCAAGGACAAGCTGTATGTGGCCCAAATATGGGAGCAGATGGCCCACCAGCTGGGCTACGATGGTAAGGATGTGGTGAAGTCGGTTTTAGCCTGACAGGGATTAATCCTAGTCTATTCCCATCTCTGCTTTTAGCCACCAGTTTAAGGGAGCGTATGACAACGCTGAGGAATCGCTATAACATCGAAAAGCGACGCGTCGAAAACGGTCTTTCCACACAGGCTTCCCAGTGGCCACTCTTCGAGAGCCTCCAGTTCCTGGGGGATCACATTCGGCCCAGGCGTAGCTTTAAGAATATGAGCATAAAGGAGGAGGATGAGGAGCACTACGAGGTGGACGACTGCCAGAGCGACAGCAACGGACATATGGCGAGCGTGAAGGACGAGCTGGAGGACGACTGCACGATCTTCGATTGCGAGCAGGCCCTGCCAGTGACCACAGTGCTGGGGTGAGTCCACAGACCATTGATAAAACCCACTCCCGCTAATGACCAGACCTGCGCTCTCTTTTTAGGATTCCCTTGAACACCTCTGACGAAGCCAACAAGAGCCAGCGCTCCATGAACGGCGACATGTCCAATGGCAAGGGCTACAATCATTATGCGGAAAGCTATCAGCGACGACTGCAACAAAACCAGCCGGAGTACATCATCAGTAGTCCGATCATCAACCATCCCAACAAGAGCATGAAGCGTGGAGCACAGCCGACGGAGGATCACCCGTCAAAGCGCCGGGCAGACGAGGGTCTGTCGATATCCGGTTTCTATCCCACACCACCTCAAGCACCCCCCTTGCCGGCGGCCTATGCCAAGTTCCGGGGATTCGGCGAGTTCATGTGCCACTCCCTGTGCGACATGCCGGCGGCCACTGCCTTGCGTCTGGTGCAGAAGTTCACCCGCGAACTGGTCCAGACCTCCATCCGCAGCGAGGGCAGCGGAGGCAAACGGAAGACCGATCAGGTCGATCAAGTCGACCAGAGCAGCGAATCGCAGGAGGAGGACGAGTAGATTTTAAGTTGCAATTTTTAATTACGGGTAGGGATATTGGAACGCGTGTCTACACTTATGCATACAGCATATAATGACCGCATTAATGACAGATTCGATTACTCCATTTATGTTTTAATTATACTCTTTTAAGTCTTCTAGCCTCGCAGTAACGGGCGTGGAAGATCCAAGCATTGCATTTCATTTATTAACATAATGGAAAAATACACTTATTTGCTTTGTTTTAAAGGCAGGGGAACGGGTCGACTAATCCAAATTGATTAATTTTCAGATTTCGGCAAAAGCATTATACTCTATCTGTAAGATGCACATCTGTAATGGTATAGAATCCTATAAATCCTATATAAAGGACCATACATATTTTAAACAATAATTCTTTTCATGGTTTCATTAATGAGTCGCAAAATACACGGACCAGCTTAAGCTCTGTGGGATGAGATAAATGACCGATGACCTTTAAACATGTAATGCATACAAACTATTATTGATTGAGGTCCCTTTTTTAGTAACGATCTCTATTAGACCATTATATGCAGGACTATATGCTTTACTGTTTGGATTGTAAAAAGGAAAACGAAAAGGTTGAGGGTGTATTTCATTTTCTTGCCAGACTGAAAAAGCAAAAAATAGAAAGGTCCTTAAGTTTTATTACTTTGTGTATGCGAGAACCACCCCAAAAGCTTCTGAAAGCTTCCAACTAGGATTAAACACCTTCGGCCCTTGGTCCTTGAAGCTGTGCCCTTCTCAAACTAAACTTTACATGTTACCATCCTAAGAAAATTCCTCCTAGGGACATTTTTCAAACCAGTCGTGCCGTAGGCTATGAAGAATGGAATGGATTGCTTACGATCCTAATAAAATACCTACCATTATGATCTACTTTATGCCACCCAGAACTATTGGAGGTGTTCCCGAGTAGGATGCTGATTAATGTCGTGGGACGTCCAACGCATTAACAAGACCGGGATAATGCCAGAAATGTGTGCCGGGGAGAACTGGAACCTGCATCGAAATGGGCAGCATAGTCATTGCCAAATGAAGTCTGAGTAGGCACATCTCCATTTGACCAAAACTGGGTGGGACCTCGTGGCCATTTCTATGAGCATTTCCCCATGTTTTCTTCTCTTTTTTTAATAATGCGTCTATATTTCTTAATTAAATTACAGCTCCTCGCATTTGGGAGTGAGTGTGTGCGTGTAATTACAGTGTTTATGTGGCTCTGGACATTCTTGGCTCCTTTTCCCAGCTGGCTGGCTGACTTGGCTTATTGATATCGCCAAGCAAAGGCAAGGCCCACGGATCGCCAAAGGTGAGTGGAGTGGAGTGGTGTGGAGTGAAGAGTGAAGTGCATCCGAGATGAGAGTGCAGTGGTACATTAAAACGTCA